CTTATTTCAGTAGATGAGGCACAATGCATAACATGTTCATCAACATGTTGCAATTAAGCAGACAACAAAATTTCTGCTTGCTTATGGGCCCACAGGTATGCATCTATAATCCATGACTGCTCTGATAAAAAAAAAAAAAAGTCCCACTTAATGCTAAGCAGTATTAAGGCAAACTAGAAGCAACCTTCGAATCCAATATTTCAGTAACAAATCAATAGCAATCACTTAAAAAAGTAGTTCTACAGTCATTACATAAGCAAGCTCCTTTTGTGTCTCTTGAACAGGCAGATACAAGAATATAAAAGAAACGAAAACTTGAAAATGAAATGAAGTCCTTCAAAAGTAAAAATACCTTTTACACTGCAGTTTTCATCACAATCACCAGTCCAGGACTTGCATGACAACTCCATAGACAACCTCTCATCAAATGTAGATGACAAAATGCTAAGACTACTTTCTTTTGCCACTGCAACTAAAGTTCCCTTCACACTCCATTCAGCTATGACAAGAGAAAAAGGTCAATACAAATAGGAGTTAAAGTTTAACAGTTAGAATGTTCTCTCACAAAATGTGTGTAAAAGAACAAAGGAAATCACTGGGAAAGCAATCTTTCTAATTTGTTATACTCTAGGGTTTCAACTTTCAAACATTGCTAACAACTATCAAAATGTCAACCAATAAAAACCAAGTACAGCAATGGAGAAAGGTAATGTGAAAGAGGTTGTATCAAAAACTTCAAAATAACTAAGAAAGAATAAAACATACCAGCATCAACTTTGTCCATTACATGTTTAAGTGGACTGTTAACAGTTCCATAATATAGCTTCCCATTATCTGACAGAACAAGGAAAGAATTTTCCATGTTCTTTCTCCATCTTATATCCTTCACAAAACTTGACTCAGCAAGTGGACTGGAGAAAAACGCTTTTAGCTCCTGTACATGATTCCCCTTGAAATTATTATCAAGCATAGCAAAACTTGCCACACTAAATAAATTGAGCACCTTCATTTTTAACTAAGAAAAAATTTAATTACTCAAGAATTAAAATTTTTAAATGTGTGAAAAACACCCACTTTATTAAGAAGGGATTCTACAGAAAATAAGTGAACATCTGCGGCAACGGAGACGGCGAGAGTGGAATTGTCACTGGAAAGCGCGAGAATACGAACTTGGCCGATTGGAACATACACAACACTAAGCTGCTCTATAGAACAGGAGTGTCCACTTCCCTTCTCCTTTAGCTCCTTGGCGGAATCAATCACGTCCTTAGTTCTCGCCACATAAAACCCTAGAACAGATAGATACAGGATGTGAAACAAAGAATAAAATCAAACTGTGGATAAAGGCCCGATGAAAAGAGCAGATAATAACCAGATAAATGAGCCACGAAGAGGAGTCGTCGGAGTTCAGAGACGGCGAGTGCCTGAGACGGAGGGTTTTCTAAGTCGAATTGGGAGTCTTCGGGTTTGATGGGAATGGGTTCACCAATCCTCTCGAAGTAGTAATCTGTGGTATCTACATGCTCCCCTTCTTTTTCTTCAACTGATTCCACTCTACTCCCCATGGATAGGACTGCTGCGATCCTTCCCCCTCTACGTAGGCGACTGAGGGTTTTAAGCTTTGGGCGGGAACGAACGACGAACGAAGCCCCACTATTCCTCCGCCGAGACAGAAAATAATAATATGCTTTTTCAGGCGCAGCTTAAAAT